ACACACACACACACACACACACACACACACACACACACACACACACACACACACACACACACACACACACGTGCGCACTGGTCCATGCGTCAAACAATCCTCGGTCACTCCACCTGCATGATCCAGGTGAGTGCTTAATGTAAGCAAGGGCTGTGGGTGTGGTGACATTTTCCTGGTCTGGATGTGCAGAGCTGCATATATGCCTGCGCCGAACGGACGGATTGACGCAAAGCAGCGGAGCAGCAGCGGCAGCGCGTCCTCCTGTCATCTCTGTCATCTCTGTCGTCAGGTCCACAGGGGGTTTGCTTTGAGGTGAGTCTGGGCTTTGGTCCTACACGTGACAGCAGGGACTGACCCCCATCTGTTAATTGATTTCTTCATTTACTCGCAAATTGATTATTGAAACACCCACGTGGAGTCTGTGTAGTTTCAAGATTTTCAGTTTTCATTTGGATCAGAAGTGTCATTTGGTCAAATTTGCTCATTCAAAAATTCAAATTAAGCTTCAAAGTTACAAAATCAAACAGTTATTACATACAGAGTGTATTTATGAATTTGTTTTTTTATCTTGTACAGTTTGTAAACATAGTTGTTTACATTAAAAAGTGTACACCTGTTAGCCCCGCCCACACCCCGTGGCAGAGCTGTGACTTCTTAAATAAAACTTACATCACACCAGAGGCCTATTCTACGAATCCAGGGTAAGGGATTAAGCTAGGATTTTGGTGTAAACCTGAATTAATTAAGCCTTGAATTGGTTGCATGGGAGGGGAAGCACGTATGTTTCCATGGTAACAAGTGCTCTGAAACTAACCTAGTCCCGACAAGGTTTAAAGTGAAGCTTATTAAATCTGTTAATGTTTCTGAGCAGTAGAGTCATTTTACTGCAGAAAAATGTTCCTCTAACCAAGTTTTACCAGGGACATCCTGAAGCCTTTGTAGGGGACTGATAATGGCCTATTAACGTCCATTTCATGGATGATAACATCGGAAGCGGGTGGTTTTACAGTCTTATATCAGCCAAAAAGTGTTTTTGATCTTGTGTTTAGACCCATATACCAAACAAGATCTGAATATGTTGGATTATTAATCTTGTAAATCTGAAAAGTTTTTTTTAACTTCAAGAAATCTTACCAAATGCAACTGTCAAACTGCAGATTATTAATTATTATTAATTTGAAAAGAATAAGTGTCTAATCTAGTATTTTTAACTCATTTTTAGATGGCTAATTTTTGCAGTGTCTGATCTGAAATCAGTTCTTCAGACACTTATTAAATTTATTCGTTTCTTTTTCTTTGCATTAAAATATTACACAGTTTACTTGGCATCTGAAAATACATTTCCTCAAAAGTATTTTGAATCTGAAAAGAGCTTCACTGAGTGAGAAGTAGTGTTAAAGAGTAACTTACCCCAAAATTAAAATTTTTTAGCTGATAAACTGTCTAGAATGTGTCTAAAATGTTATATAGTACTGTTTCTGCGCTAATTTTGATGTTTTTGTGCGTATTTGTTCAAATCTGTAATACAGTATTTGGTCTAAAAATGTCTTTTTGCTGCTCATATGGGTAGAGCAGTGGTAGTGCAGGCTAATTTGCATATTGGTTAACGGCTCTCCACGGTGACGTGTCTTCTCCACATTTTTTATTTTTTTTAAGGATGGCCTCCCTTCTCCCCTTATAGCCATCCCCTCCACACCATTATGTTTTTTTTGTTTGTTTGTTTTTTTTTGTGAAGAGAAAATAG